GTTCCAGGGCAATGATTGGGGTAGCATCAACTTGCCGGGCCGAAGATGGGATACAGGTATGTTTTGGTTAGGATTCCTGTTTCACGACAGCTCTTTGTGCGATGGTGAATATAAAGCTTCGTGCTGTTGTGTGCGATGGTGAGTTGGTTGTTGCCACGGCAAGGTTAGCTTGCAATGAAAACTATACAAAAGGCCAATCTTGCTTGAGACACTTCAAAGGCTTATGTATTGCATCTATCCATATGGCAGGCTTTTAAACCGCCATCTATTTTGAGGTTCGCGGAGCGTCTTGTGCAATGTCACTGTGTCCCTAGGGTATGCAAATCTGTGTGTTTCCTGCTGACCGATATTCTAGCCCCTTCAAAAGAATTTATAGAGATACGTTTTTAGAATGGCAGCCATGGAAAAGTCGGCGTTGGCTGTAATTAGAGACGTTTGGTTTTACAATACAAAACGATGTGTTGCTGAATGAAGAATAAAACTGGTATGTACCAGGCAGCATTGGACTCTGATGCTCAGGGGTAAAAAGTCTCAAAGAATCGATGTTTGGCTCGGAACTCTGTGGTTCCCTGGCTCACATAGCCCGTGATAAAAGGCAACATATCCTGATTTCACACTCAAAAATATCTATACATTTTAGCTCACTGAAGTACTGAAAGAAACCTGTTGACACAACTCGCATTACTTTTTCTATAAATCAACCAAACGCCATGCGTAGATGCCACTGCAATCGACAAATCACTTCTTCCGGGTAGGACGGGCGTTTTTGAGCCTCTTCTTCTCCTTCTCCTGTCTCGCCTTGCGGATATCGTCCCTGCCCTTGAGTTCCTTCTTGCTTCCCATACCATCGCGGAAACGGCCCACACGCTTCTCTCTCGCCTCGTCGACACGCTTCTTGCGAACCTGGAAGTCGTCGCGGTACTTGTCTGCCTCCTTCGGTGCCCTCTCCTGCTTGTGTTTGTAGCGGACACCAGAGGGAATATGGGCGACATGGTTGGCACCGCCAGGACGTTCTGCCTCGCCGACGTGAGGGAGTTTGCCGAGACGGTTGGCACGCTTCCACTTGTCGAAGCGGCCACTTTGGAAGCTGGCTGCGATCTTGACACCACTCTCGCCACGGATCATCTTGGCACCCTTGGATCCGTCATCGTCGTTCTCTCGTGAAACATACTTCTTGGACTTCTTGTCCCAACGCATCTTTGAGCGAGTTGGTTCGCCGAAGCTCTTGGCGTTCTCATCATTTGTAAGATCCATGGTCACGCCACGAGCAGCCTCCACAAAGTTGGAAGAGTCCTGGCCACCAGACGATACGCCGTAGCCACGTTCCTCGGCAGCGTTGAACGTTCGAGGCGTGTAAGACATAAAAACCTCCGAGTCTCGCCAATCCGTCTGTCCCTTCTTTGGGTTGGTGTTGGATACGGTGACCTCCAAGCCATCATCTGACTCTTCAGGAGCCTCGTCCACATCCATCTGGTCTTCATCTTCATCAGAAATGGCGTCCGCCTCGGTACCAACTGGCAAATTGTCATCAATACCATCGAAGTCGCCATGATCCTTCTTCTCCGTTTGCCTTCGTGGCGTAATTCTCTTTCTCAGTTGCTTCATTACTTCGGCAGCTTCAGTAGTTCCCTTGTCTCGGCGTCCACCGATCTCAAAGATAGTCTCCTGAGGCCTGAAACCACTGATTCTAGCCAACATATTGGCTCGTGCTTGTTCAGCTCCATCAACGTCCTCCCCAAAGAGTGCATGAAGTTGTGTCCAGCCCTCACTTCCGACCAACTCTTTCGACCGCTTCGCACTTTGACTGGCTGCCGAGTTCCTTGTTCTCAAGTAGAGTTTCTCTGCCTTGATAGCAACTCCACGTAGCGCTGAGATATCCTCACTTTCGTGCAACGCTTTGTTAAACCATTCTACCTGAGCCTCCACAGGGTCTCGTTTTAATGCGCCAACAACCACATCATCTGAAAATGATGGGTTCTTGGCCTCCTGGCCAATAACAAGTCTCTTACCAAGGAATAGCTGAAGGTCAAGTAGATAAGGAGCGTCAGTGTCTCTCACGAGACTGTAACTCCAACCACGCTGGCCTGCTCGAGCAGTACGACCAACTCGGTGAACAAAAACCTTGGGCTGGGGAGGAAAGTCGAAGTTGATAACGTTGGCAAGAACTGGAATATCAATACCACGTGCAGCAACATCAGTAACGACGAGGATGTTTGTCTTGCCTCTTCGAAAGTCTTCGACCTGAATTCTTCGTGCAGTCTGATCAAGGGATCCGTAGACATAGGAAACAGCGAAGCCAGCATAAATCAGTAAGTTGGCGAGGTACTCGACGTGATGTTTGGTTGCTGTAAAGATGATCGTGGAATGTTCTGTAGGCTTGCCGCTTGAACTGTCTGCGCCCCGTTTTCGCTTCTTGGACCCTGTTTCGGAGTCCTCTGCGTGCACTGGGGCTCCGACCGGCATCTTGATAACGTCGTGGAGGATATGCAACAAAGACCCTTCCTTTTCGGCACCCTTGACAGAGAAGAAAGCACTTTCGAGATCAGGAGAGACCTTTGTCTCGGCATCAAGTCGCACGAGACTTGGATCTTGTAAGCCGGCGCGAGCGAATTCAACCAAAGAGGCAGGCAATGTTGCAGAGAAGAGCAAACTTTGTCTTGATGGTGGGAGGGCATGAAGAATTTCTGTCAACTGTGCCGCAAAACCCATTTCAAACAAGCGATCAGCTTCATCGAAAACCACATATTTGATAGAAGAAAGGTCCAAAGACATCTCGACCTTCAGATGAAGGAATCGTCCAGGTGTTGCGATCACGATATCGGGATTGGCGGCCATAGATCCGAACTGTTCCTCCAAGCTATCACCACCAACAAGCAAAACGCACTTCAAGTCGGTCCCTCGGCTGAATTCCTTCACAACCTTTAAAGTCTGAATCGCGAGTTCTCGAGAAGGCGAAAGGATAAGCGCCCGTGTTCCGAACCTGGCGCTGTGCGCGCGTAATCGTTCGATCATAGGAATAACGAAGGCTGCTGTCTTTCCGGAACCTGTTCTGGCCATGCCGACCAAATCTTTTCTGTCCAGAATCAAAGGAATGGCTTTGCGTTGGATTGGAGTTGGGACCGAGAAACCTTTCCGTGTAATGGCCTTTAGGAGATTGCTATTCAGACCTGGAAGATATTAGTAGCCTCTTCACCTTATATGTAGCCATTCTTACCCATTGCCTGGAAACCTCCACCCTTCTTGACTGTCCTGCCCTTGAGATTGGATGCTTTTCGAAAAGAAGCCGCCTGTTGGAGGGCAATGAATGCCTCATCGTTGTCATCGTTGCCGGGCTCTGGGGCGTTTAACAGGCCATCGAAGTCGAAGTCCGCGCTGCCATCGTTGCCGCCATTCTCGTTCTCGCCGTCGCCGGGGTATAGCGATCTAAAGATATCAATCTCTCCATCAGAATGGGTCGGTGAGACGCCGCGTTGTGGCATTGTGACTCGCCGTCGATATCAGCAATATGTATGTAGAATTAGGATAGTCTAACAGGCTCAGTAGCTCCCTTTCCCAATAATTTTTTCTGTTATCTTATCTCGCGGGGCATAGAAGTGGGTCATTTTGTTCCGGCGCTGCGACTGTCTATCACCTAGTATCAACTTACCTTACGCTTCACTCACTTCCAACCTTGTTGGTCCTTCATCATTTCAACTTCTCGAAAATTATCATTGCCCATAATGTCCAGCAAAGACTCGAAAGAAGATAAAGACGCGCTCGATGCTCTTGAGCTTGAAGCCAAAGAATTTGATAAGGTCAGTTGTTTGCGACAACTTATCAGTCATCAAAGACTCTTGCTGACTCTCTCTAGGATGCTGAGATTGACCGCATCTTGAAGGCATTTCGCCTCGATGCGTACGTTAAATCCCCGTAATTCCTCTGCATTAAGATCTAACTTTGTCATAGTTATGCCGTTCTTGATCTCCAACCTGGTGTCCCTGACTCAGACATCAAGGTTACTTACCGCAAGAAGTCTCTACTCATCCATCCCGATAAAACAAAGAATCCGCTGGCTCCAGATGCCTTTGATCGGCTAAAGAAGGCACAGACAGAGCTCATGGACGAGAAGCATCGTGCACGACTAGATGAAGCTATCGCGGACGCTCGAATGTTGCTTATTCGCGAAAACAAATGGACTGTCGACAGCGAAGAGCTCAAGACGGAAGAGTTCCGAAAGATGTGGCGCGCAAAAGCGCGAGATGTTCTCATTGATAACGAGCATCGCCGACGTCGCCAGATGAAAGCCCAGCTCCAGGAAGAAGGTCGTGAACAACGACGTACTGATGCCGAGGTGGAAGAGCGTAAGCGCAAGCGACAGCATGAACAGGATTGGGAAGCCACCCGGGATGAGCGGATCAGCAGCTGGCGACAATTCCAGAAAGGATCAGGTGGCGAGAAGAAAAAGAAGAAGAAGCTCAAGCCCATCGGCTAGAGACCAGAGACCTTGGTATTTCGCAGGAGTTTATTGGGAAGACAGCACGAAGGCACACGGCTACACTACACACTGTCGCGCTGGTATGTGAGTTAAATAATTATGATGAACCGTTTGGACTCTAATCAAGTCAGACAAGGTGCCCCCAGGTTTCATGCCTCATTCGACTCTGGAGACGTCGGTTTTCAGCACGGTAAGTTCATCATGAACGTGTATCATTGACGTAGACCGTGTGATGTATTCGTAGTATCATTCATATCCAACGTGCACCTTCAAGTGACTTGAAATGCAATTTCAATGAGGAGAGTGGCCTCGTTGGAGCTTCACAGCTCCTTCTATACTACAGGATTAGTATACAACAGATCTGATGTAGTTGGCAGATCTACATGAGTAGTTGGGTTATCGTAACCCTCCACCGACGCCATACAAAAAATGTGATCCTTTTGAACACCAACAAATGCGCTTCTCCCACTCTAATTTTAATAATACCCCCAGTATATGATACATATCATCATCAGTCGGAAGTTGTTTATTTCTTATCCTTATCATCAGATTTCTTGCTTGAGTCGTCATTCTTGCTAGAATCCTCATTCGCCTTTTGGTGAGCGGGATTATTGGTCAGTGTGTGCCAAAGCGATTTGAGGAAGCCCTCATTCTTGTGCGATTCAGGGTCATTTGGATCCCTTGGAAGGTCAGTGTCAATTGCTAAAACCGTTGAGGCTGCAATCAGTGCCTTACCTGGAAGAACCGACGCCCATCACGCGCTTGGCAGTCTTGTCGTCCATTTCGTCGGCGAGCAACTCAACAATAGTTCGCTGGTTAGCCGTCAAATACTTGGGCATGCTAACTCGGTATTCAACACGGAGATCACCGTTGACACCACGTCGTGAACCGAGACGCTTCATTCCCATACCGGGAAGTGTGATCTTGTCACCAGTGTTGGTGCCAGTGGCAACCTTGACATTGACTGTTCCATCCAGAGTAGGGATCTCTGCATGGCCACCCAGTAAGGCTGTTGTAAGAGGAATATTGGCAGTGTAAAGAATGTTGGAGCCGTCTCGACGGAACTTGGGGTCCTTGGTGACTCGGATAAAGACATACAGATCTCCATTCTGGCCACGAGCATTGGGGTCGGAAGATCGGCCAGTAGCAGGCGCGTCACCAGCACCGTCAACTCGAAGTCGCATACCGTCCTCGATACCGGCGGGAATATCCACCGTGATTGACTTTCTCTCCCTCACAACGCCATCTCCTGAGCATGTCTTGCACTCAGCTCCCTTGGGAATAACCGTACCAGTACCATCACAAGTTCCGCAAGTAGATGCCATTTGGAAGCCACCCTGCATGAAGTGTACTCGAGTCCCAGTTCCGTCACAAGCACTGCAGGCACTCCTCGATGTGCCGGCCTTCAAACCGTTACCCTTGCATGTGCCGCATGTGCTGAGTGGTGTGAGCGAAATCGTCTTGCTGGTGCCTTTAGCCGCCTCCATAAAGCTTATAGTCGCTTGAACTTCGACATTGTCACCGACCAAGATCTCCTGCTGATGAGCTTGCTGTCGTCCACGGCGGCCAAAGCCTTGTTGTCCGGTAAACGCTGAAAAGATATCCTCGAAGTTGACGCCGCCTCCGAAACCTCCCTGTCCGCCAAAGCCGCCGAAACCTCCTTGTGTACCGAATCCTCCAAAGCCAGAGAATGGATGCCCTCCACCGAAACCACCACCACCGCCTGGTGCACCTCCCCCGCTGGGATCGAAGCCAGCGGCACCGAATTGGTCGTACTGCTCGCGCTTCTTGGGGTCTGACAGAATCTCGTATGCGGATTGAATATCGGCGAACTTGTCCTTGGCCTGGGGGTCCTTATTCGTATCGGGATGGAACTTTTTCGCTAGGCCGTAGTATGCCTTCTTAATCTCGCCGGCCGATGCGCTCTTACTAACACCAAGAGCTTGGTAAGGATCCTTCTGCTGGACGGCATTTGTAGCATGGAACAACTATCACATATCAGAATGTAAAATTTTATCAATTGGTATTGAGCTACTCACCCGCTTCGCTGAAGGAGCTCGAGTCCTCTTCCTCAAAGTAGATCGGGTTTCAGAGCCGGCCCGCCATGCCGCAGTGTGAAGCTGGGCACCTTTCTTTAAACACTGAAGCTTAGGTGTATTTTGCGCCAGCACACGCGCAGGAGCGGCGGCCTTCGATAGCAAACTAGGATTCATCTTGAACTGCAGGAATTCATCTGACTCTAAAAAAAAATACAGACAAATGCAAAAGGTGCAACGAGGGAAGAGTGAAACGTCACGAGCAACTAGCGGAATAGCTCGTGCTTCTCTTTTTTTCGAGACCTATCTCGAACTTTTCCATGGGCAAGCCTCAGGCATCCAGCTTCGTCATAACGGCCGGCTTCGGCTGCGCTATACACGGAAGCTTATTGGCCAATATGTATTCAGGAACACTGGAAGCCGATGATAGAACAGCTCGCTCAGGAACGAATTTTCATGATGAGTTGAGGCAAGAAAACCTAGTTAGATAGTCAGACTTTGTGGTCTCAAGTCTAGACTTTTTCCCTACATGTCATATGTAGCTAACAAATTAAGAAGAAACCCAATACTCGAATATCATCGCAAAGATATCGGCGGCTGTCTTATGCCGAGAGTACCCTGACTAAGGTAGCCGAACACAATATCATGGATGAGAAGCCGAGAACAGGCTATAGAATGCCGTGATTCTTGAAAGATCACGAGTGGTGAGTCAGCAAGATCAGTTGTCATTTTCTCTGCAGGGTGAACTGTGAACAAGTGACTACCTACCTATGTCCTCGATTGTCCTCTTTATTGAGTAGGGGTCAGGTTTTGAGCTAATGATCAATTAATGGCTTATCATGATAACTCCCCGGGCAACGCCATTGTCCTATTTTCAATCACTGACAAACTTAAAAAAAAATATAAAAAAAGAGATTAAAACAAAATCACAGTTAAATAGCAAAACAACGAAACAGATATAAGAGAATAATAGTGCTAGCACGCGCTCTCTATCTGAAAGAATGCATAGTCCCTAAATCCTTCATGAACCTTTGGGTATCATCGTACCCTGAAACATACTGGTAGGTACTGGTAGTTTAAAGCAGCCATTGTCTGGCTCTGCTTAAAGGGGTATCCTTATGACGTAATCTGAATCCGCGCAAGACATTCAAGTCTACCTATGTCGTGACTCCCCGTATGCACAATGCAATCATGCCTATATGCCTTTGCAGCCCTTTGTTAAAAGAACAAAATTCGCAAGTCGCTGGAAGCAAAAGTGCTGTAACGATTGCGTTCAACTCCAAAACTCCATACCAATGTAACCGTCCCTTGCGTAAAATCCATCGCTTATAAGCGCCCTTATTTTGCAAAAGTCGGGGTCTTGCCTCCGGTGTGTGGTTTTGAGATGCGACTAGGGTCGTGGCGAATCTTGTAAATAAAATCGACTATTACGTCGTTCTCTTGCACGCCCATTCCATTAAAATGTTTACGCACGGCGAGTGCCAGCTGGTCTTTGCTCTGGCGACGAGCTTGTCGGCGTCGAACCATTGTTGGAGAATGGATGCCGATGCCATTCGGCTGCGAAAGTATCCATTGGCAGTATGGGCTCGAGAATGAGCTCGGCGTGTTCAAGCGATGCTCACGACGGTAGGCATGGAGGATTTCTCGGTCGAAGGAGGCCCAGTGCAGCTGGGAGGAAACTAGTTAGCATCTCGAGGCAGAATCAGAGCGACCATGGTCTGGTGGGTGTTGCAAGGTGGTTCGATAAATAATTGAGACTTGGAGCTGGTTTTGCGAAAGAGAGCTACAGGACGACAGAATAAAGCAGATAATCCGACAATACAGTGCGTCAGGTATCCTCTAGCAATCATTGTATACTCGAAGTCTTCCAACCATCTTATGGGGGCGCGACCGTAGATCATGAGGGAACGGAGGGGGTTGACGAACACTAGGGGGAGAAGGCTCGGCTGGTGGTTGAGGGGGAGCAGCGGCCGTAGCATTTTGGACTTCGCGAAGGTGAGAGTGGTTCTGTTGGCTGGCGTTGCGACGCATCTTCGTTGAGGTATGGCCATTTCCACCCTTTTCCTTGGAGTTGGGTGTGTCCGCCTTGTCGTCGTGATTGCGGGATGATTTTGCGGGAGGCATGATGAGCTGCTGAAAGATGTGTCGATGTTGTTGATTTGACTCGTCGCGGGAAAATGAGAGGCTAAAGGGAGGAGAGGTTCGATCACATAATAATAGAATAGGTACTGGGTAGTTGCAAAACGATCAACGGTTTGTGGAAGGAAATGAGAGGGGAGAAGAGTTGGCCGGAGTCGGCGCGTGATCACTTATTTTTCGGTGGATAGGTAGGTACTACCTCAGGGACCGCCTTACCAGGACTATCGCTGTGAATGCTGGCGACTGCTTCGCAAGTAGAAACCTCCACTACAAAAGCGGAATAGCCCCTTAGGCGTCTGACTTCTAGTCAGAAGAGTTGGGTGAGTCCCTGCGGAATCTTTGTACCTTTCTTTTTTTTCGCAACTTCCATTCTGTCCCTAGAATTTAATTACCTGGATTTACTTTGTGATCATAGGAAATGTCTTGATGTATCGATGCGACTCGATATGGTGGAGTCATAAGGAAGAATCTGTTTTAAGGTTGCGATTTCTATTGAATGGCAGCCCAGTTCTAGTCAGTGTAGCTTGGATATCTACCAACCTAATGAATAAAGAATGAAATCTTGAAGACATAAATTTTTATGGCCATTCTTTTGCAGGCTGGCCTTTCGTTATTCCATTCTGGACAGCCCTGAAGTGTGAAACTGACTCCCAAGATTCTTGGACAAGACCTCAGCATCAGCAGAAAGAGGAAGAGATCAACTCATGAGGTGCGGAAATAAATCACCCGAGAAACCCTTCCAAACCTTCTGAACGGCAGTCATCCATTTGCCTTTTGACCTTTACTGTTACTCGTTAGTGCAGGGGGCTTGCGATGTTAAAGAGCTCCATAAACTCAACGGTGCCCCTCATTGAAATGTTCCGAAATCAAAGAGGTAACCAAGGGCTGAACTTGAATTCAATGTGAAAAGAGCCTTGATGTTAGGAGAAGCGCCCTTCATAAGACAATCAATATGCTCTAGCCACGGTTGTAGGCTTTTGAGCATGCGATTGAGAAATTTACTGCATAATTATAGCTGGACCGATATCGCGACCACTCGTCATCGTGAACTGATCGTGTGCCCATGAAGTACCAAGATTTTTGTTCCCTTCTGCCCTTCTTTCATGATACAGCAACCAAGTCTCAAGGATCCAGGCTCGACGGAGAATCTCCGAAGCACTCAAAATTCATGAGCTAATAAGCAGCCTTAACAGCACATGGTAAATTTGGAATGACGGCATCAACATATGACGAACCAGTGCAACAGCCTCAGTCTACAGATCATTGAGCCCAAAGGTCGTCACGAGACTCCCATATGCCCATTCTATGTGGGACCTTGTCCAGACTAAAAACCACCCCCACGCAGTAAAGCTTGACTGCTAGTGAGTCAAATCAATCACTCGTCACTGGTACATCGCAGAGCGCGGCATCGTCTTAGCCTCAGTGATCGCCTTGGAACCGGAGATCTAGAAACCCCCATCACTCCACTTTGTGATCCGGCCGCATGGAATACAGCGCTGTAACTGCCGATCGATTCACATTGTCAACACGCAGGACCCTCGAATCATGTGGATAAAGTATCACTTTGGCTGACGACTATGGCCGAAACATCTCGATATCCTCTTCTATTGGGTTGCAATGAGATGCCAGTTCGTGGAGGGTCGTTCCAGAGACCTGGCTTTCCATTTCTGGCTCACCGAATAGGCTGTTCAGACCCAACAGCTGCAGGCTCAAGGATGAAAGGCTACTGCAACTTGTCAGAAGGATCACCGACGATGGCGTCTCGGTCGAGAACGGGATACGTCGTACTCCGTCGTTGTTGGATGTATTGGCCGACGGTCGTGCATGTTGTCGTAATTCCAGCCTCACGAGGGGCAATCGATCAGGCTCGATGGGGAGAAACTCGACACGGTGTAGTGTGTTACCAGTTCATGCATGGGGCAAAATGTCATGTCTTGTGGGACGGCATGGACGATCCCTCCAGCTGGAACTCTGGGAGTGTTGAGCAAGACGTTTGTAAAAGAAATTCGTGACACCGTGTGTATATTCAACCGGATTGTTCTCACAGATAGGGCACCTCCAGGTGTAGGGATCTTCCCCGGACTCCAGATCAAAGCTTGCAGGTTACCTATCTACTCCGCAATCCATTACGTTGATCTTGAGATTTCCATGAGTGAATGGAACTCAGCGCCTGCATGTTTCACGACCAATAAAGAGTCCCTGAGATAAGGTCCAAGAGTTTGGACAAGGAGATGGCTAATTAGGGCCGCTTACATAGGGGAGGGACCTGCATACCTGAGGAAATAGTTGCAGGCGAGCCAATACAATCCCCAGCCAAATGTATCAACCGCTGTGGAGAAGCATCATTGCAGAAACCCGGGGTTTTTTTTCGTCAGGCGACCTGTTAGCGTTCAGAAAGTTGACGAGTCTCAAAAAGTGTCTTAATTTTGAGAAATATCAACAGTTTTGGGTATTAGGATAGGTGTCATGTCGTGGTTCATGGGGCTGACAATCGCTAGCCAGATATCACAGGCTTTAATCGATTCCCAAGGAGCCGATGAACAAAAGCAAGTCTCTCTCTACTACTACGTAAAATTGGCAATCGGTTTGGAGAACGAGGGATCGAGTCATCCTTGTTAGCATGTAATATGGTCGATGGCATTTAAACTGCAGCCCATGATCTTGATGCTGTCATTATTAGATATAATAATTTTACAGCTTTCAGCTTTGATCAATGAGAGTATGGATAGCTTAATCTCCACAATACTCGATGACCCCCAGTTACTGAAACATGATCAATAATACTGAGATTTTCCCTAGGTTATGTTTACGGCATTAAAAGCAAAGAGACAAAAATAAGCTGGAGCATCATTGTTATACCCAGTAGTCGAATCACGTTGTGGGTCAATGATCGACAACCTTCATGTTGAGAAGACTATAAGAGTCGAAACGGTTAACGAAAGTCTTTTTTGCTACGATTCTCCAACTCATGCAAGCGAGGAGTCAGATTGCCGATGCCTCCTAGTTAGGTAATCAGAGCACCATACGGATAGATAACATGAACTCGGCTCGAGTTTAAAGGATTACGTACCGAGTATTGCTACCTCAGATACGCGTCCGTCCTGGAGCGTTGGCCATCTCCCCACCCCGATATTCCGGGATGAAGCGCACTGCTCATGCCACCATTAAAGAGCTGATGACACACGAAAGTGAGCCTAAGACGGCCCGCAGGCTAGCATCATCGCATCACGCAAGGGCTGGTGTACATACAGTACATAATGCCAGCGTGACAGCGCAAATGGGAGCCCGGAGTGGCCCGTGAGATGTCGGCTTCCATCATACCCAACTTGGCTTCGGGGTGAGTGGTCCGAGAGATCGTGAGGCACCATTCATTGTAAACGGTTATTGGACGTAGTTGAGAATCCCAGGCTGGGGTTATTCCAGATTGGGTAAACATTGATTGATATTGGGGTCGATGAAGAAGTCATGTCCACCTCCTGAGCTGTAATGTTGGTTGGTCGGACCCACGAAATGTCTCACAAAATCGAACCAACAAGGCCTCGAGCCTTACGAATTATTTCTGGCCCATGGCTGCTAAACGTAACCAGAAAGTCACACTTGTTGGTGTCTATGCATGTCGCAACGGATCTCAGCTCTCGGTGAACCGCCAAGATGCCGAGCCCAAGTGCTCACCTACAACAAATCCTGAGAGAAGAGATTGATCATGGATGCCCGGTCAAAATGTGAACAGATGTTATCACATCGACAAAGCGCGATATCCCTGTGCAGTCATCCTCCCCGGAGCAAGGGTCCTCACAGCCTGGTATATGAGTTCATACGTTGCTTGAAAGCCCTCACTGATGAGATCTTCCTCTGGTCTTTTACCAAGACTAGAGGAATCTACAGCACGCATTTTTACCGTCTTGTATCTCTTCATGATTAACAAAAGTCATCGGCAGGTCGGACATCAAAGATGTGAATGAGGCTGGGCTAGTAGTTTGCGCAGGGATATGGAGGTTGCATGGAGAGAGGCGAGGGTGGAGAAGCGAAGTGGAGGAGAAGACGGACGCTTAACCGAGAAGGCAAAGGCATGGTACGAAAAGGGTTCAGGCTCATTTAGGATGGTGAGCGTGGATTGGACATTGGGAGACCCTTGTATCGCAATTCAGCGAAGGTGTCGAAGCCTCGAAGGTAGGATTCTGGTTATCCAATTTTGATGGGTGAGACTCGAGGGACTTGAACATTTGAGGGGCTCCATCCTTTTTGTTAAAGTCAACGACCCCCCACTCTCTACCCGCACCCACGTTCCCCAGACCAAGCTCCGTCTTTTCTTCAGTTCCGTCCCGTCCATCCCACGCTTTTGCTCTGCGAATGAAGCTTTTGGTAAAGCGACTACTACAGTGCACTTGCAGTCCAGCCAGTAAATGTACTTGCTTCTTCTGGCATTCGAGTCCCTTTGATATCTCGAGTACATACTGCACTGCGTTGGTTTGCTTTTGCTGAGCGTGCCTGAACTCCTATTACTGTTTCTTATTTGTGGTGTAAGCCCGTTTCATCTCTGTTCCTGATTATCTCAGCCAGAAAAAGTCACTCAGCTCAGGCTGTATCTTTGTCGAGTGCCTCGCTCTCGTCCTGTTGTTCCGTCTTCCGTTTCTCTCTTCTCTTACAACCCCTCGGCTTCCAGCATCCTTCTGTCACACTTGTGTTGCATTCGTTGCACATCTGCGAACCTCACCTCAAGGTCAGTAATTGTATAACTTTCTGTACTCATTCTCTCTCTGTTCACGTCTCATCTGCCCCTCCGCATCCTCATCCTTGAACGGCGCCACTTCAGACAGCAAGGACCACACTCGGGCACGTCTACTTGTACCACGAAATCACCACATGCTTCGAATCGGATCATTGCATGTGAGCCACGAGAAAATCATGGAATTATCGTTGTCTACCACTGGCTAGATCATATCCAATACTGGGCCCAACCCCTTTGTCTCCGTCCCTGCCGTATGTCGTTCGACTTTGCTCTGTCTGCCGGACGACGATGAGTTATACCTTCTCGAAACACTTGTTCAAGGATGATCCTGTGCCTCCCTCATCAGTCAAATCTTCCGTGTTCCTGTCGAACGTTACACATAAATAAGCAACGACCTCAAGTCAACTCCGTCATATACAAGCCTGGTTTCCTTATACAAAAAAAGGAAGAAGCCTCACCCGGCGCCGCAACAACGCCTCGACCACTATCACGTCTGCATCTTATCTTCTCTCCACATCATGAGATATACAGGCCAGCAATACGACAACTCACAACGTTTACATGACCAACTTTAAGATGGTCTCTCGGCATCACCCCGTCTCTGGTCTCCAGTCATGGTCCCACATCCCGGCCTTCCCCAAGCTGGCCCGTCTTTCTTTGATCCACCTCAATCAATAGTATCCTCGATATTAGCCGCAAAAACACGCGACACTTATTGCTTTCGCTGCTAACATTAAGGGACCAGTTCAGCTCCAAATTGACCCCATTAGCTTGACCCCAAGATCAAGTCTGGTTTTTTAATCGCGTGCCGATCTTTTGTTGTTCGCGACTCTTGGACATACAAGTCACGCCAACTCGACCACATCGATTTCCCTTTCGGTCATGCGTTGATTGCAATATCCTATCATTGCGTAGGGGTCCTAGAAGTAATTATACGATTTAATTCCGCCCAGTCCCACCTTCGCGAACCCCGGCCATCACGACCCCGCTATCCTTGGTGACAGACCCAACTGCCACGCTTTGCGACTCTAGCGATTACCAACCGTCATCCTCGAGCCTTGGCCTACCACTGCCTGGCTGGTGGATTCTTAGCCTGTCGCTTTATAGCACGGCTCGACTTGTCTGAGTCTTTTTCCTAACACAAACATCGCATCGCCTTCACTTCATAGGCTTCCTGTACGGACATTGGGTATGGCCTCCGTTATAACAAATAACGTGAAACCGACCCTTCCCATATCCCCGGTCAGCTCCGGCGCAATGGGAGCTCAAAATATATCGCCTCGCGACACTTCGGATCCCACAGGTCGCGGCCGACGAAGAAGTCGCTCACCCGCAGATGACGGCGCGGACCAGGTCATAAAATCTGAAGGAAATCAAGACGGACCAAATGGCGCATCTTCCAACTCCGACGGCCCTGGCCCTGCCAGAAAACGAAGACGGAGCCGAAAGGGCCTGGACAAGAGGTTTGAATGTAGTGCCGAAGGGTGTGGGAAGAGCTATTCAAGAGCGGAACATCTGTATGTTTCGAGTTTGTGCAACACTCAGGTTCAAGCTGACATATGACAGGTACCGGCATCAGCTTAACCATAACTCTAAACAGACCTACCACTGTACTTTTCCTAACTGCACACGGACTTTCGTCAGAGGGGATCTTCTCAAAAGGCATATGGACCGACATGCTGCGAAGGGCTCGCAACTCAACCAGAGAGATTCTATCATGGCACAATCCATAGCTCCGGGTCAATCAAACCAACAAGTTCAACCTCCTAATTTCAGTCGGAATAATTCTATCGACTACTCAAAGCACCAGCAGACGAATATGCCTTACCAGACACCACAAGTTCAAACACCTAACCCATATTCACCCATGAATAATACTCCAACAGGCATGTACCCTAACGGAGCCATGCCAAATGGGATGGATAGTTACATGTCCCCGACCCAGGGTTATGATAATCGCACGCCACAACTCAGCCAACCGCAATCCCCTTCGATTCAGCAAAGGCCGTCTATGTCTGCCAGCAATACACCATTCAACATGATGTCTCCAATTGCGAATCAGCAAGGGTTCCCAAATCAACAGAACATGTCGCAGAATAATTTTGTCAGCCAGCAAAACGTTATGCCTATGACCCTCCCTCCGGCTCAGTACCCCAATGGACAAAATGCTACCGTAGTTACTTCAGCGGAATATTCAGAACCAGGAACCACGCAACCGAGCGAGATGATGATGCTGGACCAGATGGCCATGCCGGCAACTGTTCCTGTCTTCGGAGAGGGAGGTGATATGAACAAGTCACCCTACGTTGGAATGCCGGAGGACTTTATGGCTTACCTCTTCAACTCCCCCAGTCAAGCCATGACACCAGTGATGGGCCCGAACTACACCAAGTCAGTAATTCGTAAAGCGTAACGGAAATCGTACTAACTTGAAACCAGTTATGCGGAATTGCAAGGAAATCAATTTAATATGAATCTTCTGGGTACAGATAGCAATTCACTTGGATACTTCCCAAGCGCTCCTCAGCAGGTAATGGCTGTCAACAACCTTCTTGATCAACAAGTTCCGGAAGCCACGATATCTGAGGAAAAGAGTCAAGAGCTATTCGACTTTATCAAAGAACGCTTCCATGACAACAAGCATGCTCCACCCGATCGTCAATGGGCCGACCTGCTTGAAGGCGATCGATCAAATGGCGAGCATATGTTGAGTAAGAGGATGATGCAGGCTTACATCGGTTCTTATTGGTATCATTTCAGCGATCAGATGCCTATTCTTCACAAGCCTACTTTCTCTCCTGACAAGACACCGAACTTATTGCTCCTCGCGATGATGGCCATCGGAGGGGCTTGTCTCGACAGGACCCATGGACACAACGTGACCAGAGCAAGCGCCCAGCTCTCCAACTTTCTTGCCTGGCATCTCCGTTGGGACATCTTCATGGACGTTAGCTTCAGGCCGCCTGCTAAACTGTGGATTTTCCAGGCTTTGATTCTCCTGGAACTGTACGAAAAGATGTTTGCAACAAGAGAACTCCACGAACGGGCCCACATTCACCATGCGACCACTATCACTCTCATGCGACGAGGACGATCTCTGATCGGCAAATCTGCACTGGACTCTCCGCCGAACCCTCGTGACGTATCCAATGGATCTCGGCAGTCCTCCACATCCAGCTCGACAGGAACAGCTGATAAATGGTGGGAGCATTGGGTTACAAACGAGGCGACCCGGCGTGCAGCATTCGCGGCCTTCATTGTTGATTCGATCCATGCAACGATGTTCGGTCATTCGGCAGTCATGGTAGCTCATGAAATGCGACTGCCTCTTCCTTGTGACGAGTCTATGTGGCGAGCCGGCAGTAGTTCTGAAGTTTGGAGGATTGAATCAAACCTGATGTCAAATGGCATCAAGCCAACCTCATTCCTGGAGGGTCTTAAGAGAACTTTGAGCGGTCAGGATGTCCACACGACATCCTTCGGTAGAACAGTGCTCATGACAGGCCTGTTGAGCGTCTCATGGCACATGCACCAGCGGGATCTTCAGGTCAATGTCCTGGGCGGCGGCATCATCCAGGCTCTTGGCGGTCGTGATCGATGGCGGGCTACTCTCACTCGAGCATACGACACTTGGAAAGCTGATTTTGACAAGCATCTTGAACGAAGCGAGGCCGCTGACCCGTATCGAGACGACGCCACTAAGAGGCAGGAGTTCAACGTCGTATTTGAAAGTCGCACGGTTTTGCACCATTTAGCACACATGGCCATGCATGCTGATATTGTGGACTGCCAAATGTTTGCACGAGCAAAGCGTCTACTTGGTCGAACGATTGGACCTCAAGAGTTTAATAGTGCTCAAAGGCGAATCAAAGACCACTGGGCTCACTCCGCGAGGGCGAGAGATGCAGCCTTTTACGCTATCAAGTTCCTCTGCTCAGTACTTGCTCCGGATCAAGTATCTGCAGCACATGCGGGCGGATACCACCTCGATGAGCCTTACGACGCCCGCGACGATGTTCTCCTTAACCGGCCTTGGGTGATGTACTTCGCTGCCCTGGTTGTTTGGAGTTATGGATTCGCGCTCGAGGGACCTTGTCCCAATATTCCCCTACCTACCACAAGGCACGAGAAGCTGCAGCATATGAGGAACTACTTTGTCAAGTTCGGTGGCATCGACAGTCCCGGTGCACTGCAAGGTCGATCAGGGGTCAACGCCAATACAGCCCTTCTCATGGTCCTCAAAGACACGTTTCAGGTATGTTTTCTGAGCTTCAAGGCTGAGCGGTGACTAACACGCTTTTAGACAACACGTTGGGAATTGCTTCATGAAGGATCAGCTCTTTTAAGCAATTGCATTATCCTTAACCAAGGCGGAACAATTGATTAAAATGACGGTACTCAGCTCCCTGTTTCGAGAAGGCGTTAAACTGTTTGAGAGCTGCACGAGTTGTTGGGCTATGCCTATGAGGGCAAGTGAACGATATTCCTTCGTCCTTTGAAGGAGGATGAGTAGCATTTACGACGGATATAAAAGGATATTGGCGCATGGATACAGAAGGGTTACAATTGGTATGAGATATGATGGATTCGGAATAGCATGGTTTACTTAGATGGAGTATGCGGCTTCTTGCTTTTGCTTTTTAGAATACCCCAGTGTCGTTTTGCACAATATGATGGTTTTCAAGCGGGATGTTCTAAGAAGAAATTGCTCCAATTGTTTGTGTAAAATCAAGGTATGGGTGAACGGGTTCGTCAACTCCTGAGATATTGTCCACTCCAAATTCGAACGCCATTGTCTAAAAAATAAAGATAAAATCAGTTCAGAGCATGGCCATTTGTGAGGCTCTCCTCTAAAGGTAAATTCGCCTCGTGGAGGAGAGCCGTCAGTTCCTCTCCTGCTGCAGCCTCCATCTCTTCGTCTTCGTCGTCCTCGTCCTCGTCATCTTCGCCGGTGTACGGCATTTCTCCCTCCGGATCAGTCTCGGAGTCTATGTCAATCAGAGTGCCGTATGGCAAGAAGAAGTCGTTTGGGAGAAGGTCGTCCTCCATGTTTGCGACTTGCGCGAGGGTCGCGCCCTTCCAGAAGGCTGTGGGACCTGCAGGTCCGTGAACATCGTAGTCACTGCACTCTACATTAGCATATTGCTAGAAGGTGAGTGTCTGGGGCTATACCTATCGAACCAATTTCCTACGACGCCTCGAGCGGAGCGTACGCCTCCGATCTGAACACCCTCACTGCGCCAGCGCTCGACACCATGGAAGATTGAGAATGTTGTCCATCTCACCTCGCCTTCTTTTGTCAGGCGAGCAGTGCCTTTGACGTTGAATGTTTCCATTTTAGCTCTGGCTGAACCTTTTCAACTTTACTTTTGGGAAGGGAGACACTCTGCTTACCTCGGATATTTGAGTTGGCATTATTGTCAAACTCATCGTCTAAAGAGCGACTAACACCCCGAAAGTGAACTACTGGTAGCTCTTGACCGTCTTCGGGGCCTGGTTCTTCTACAGATGTAACATTGACTTTCATCATAATAATGCGAGTTGCTTCACCCACATCAAGTGGTGGACGCGGCGCATCGGAGGTGATGAGTAGTTCAGGATCACCAAAGTTGAAAGCGAAGAAATCGCTATAATCAAGAAAGCACACAATCTGAAACCTTATCTGTCAGCTTAGCTTTCATGGGAGGAGCAAGCAGATACGGGCGTATCCTGGGGCCAACGAACGCGGTACCATGTGCCTGTGACTCCGTAAGGGTCGCGGGCCTCGAGTGAAGTGATGTCCCGAGGCGGAGGAGCCATAAAACTGTTTTGAAATGAACCCGAGAACGGGCTGTCCCAAACGTTAGCGAATATTTGTGCAATATGGCGTCTTGCACCAATGTTGTGGCCTAGAACAATGAGAATAGCCTCCACTTTTTCCCAGTCGACATTGAAAGTGCCATCGTCTTTGAATGGCCCCCATCCTGTGTTCTGAGTAAACTGGCGCAAGTCGTAGACCTTGGAGCAAGCATAAGGATACGTTTTCATGGATCGTAGGCGACCAACGTTGAGGATCGGTCTTGAATAAAGGCAGTGAAGATGGGCACTCTTTTGCTGAAGAGTCCTGTAGCCGTCATCGGATGAGGTGGGCGCAGAGATGCTGTCTTGCGTGGGCTGACGGCGCAGGCGGTTGAAAAGCGATGAACCCTGGAGGAAGGCCTCGGCAGTGTCGTCTCGAGAGAAAAGACTTTGAAGGTGAGCGACATTGCGCGATGGCGCAAGGGTCTTGGAGATGTTGATAGCCTCGTCGTGAGATGGTGAAGCATTTTTGAGCAGACGAGTGACTATGTCGTGTACAAATTCGAGTTCAGCTTTCTATATATCCATTAGATCTTATATCAACTGGAGCATGGGATTTCTTATCTTGTCTTACCTCAGGGTTGTTGCATATACTTTCAAGCTTCACAAAGTCGTGAATCTCTTGCTCGTAGTCAAGGCTCGGGTTGCTTGGTTCATCCTGGACTGTTGGTTAGTATTTGTGAGAGCCTTCAGGGAATACATACCAGCGTATTCATATAGACATCTCGATATAATTTATGGTTCGTCTTCACTACTGTATAAAACCCCTTAGAGACGCGGGGCAGTATGACAAGGTCGGCTGGGGCTATCCACTGCAGTATGTGATGCAGGATTTCAGCTGGAAGCTGCAGAATCGGTGCCGCAGCATTTAGAGCGTCCATGATGTGAATAATCTTGTGGTTCGGTTGTGTTGTCTTTGAGAGAAGGTGAATCTTTGAAATGAGGCTGCCAGGTAATGACGATATAGAAAGGCTTCTGACGTTACTTCCGTTCATGGCATCCATCGGACTTAACGTGCGGAGCTTGTGTGGGGGGTGCGCCGTCTTACCAGTAGGATAATCGTTCACAAGCTTACCCTGGAGCGATTTCAAGCTCACGGCATTTGGCACCAAAACATAGAATATACCATGGAATGATTTGTCTACTTCTCGTGTATCTACATCTTGGCCTTGATATCGCTATCAATATTGACTTTTCCGTGCTCAGCTGTGGCCAGGAGAAGATTATCTGACCTCCTTCTCATACTTCCATGCAGAGAGGCTAATTTCTTCCCGACCTGAGTAATCGAACACTCAATCAATACCTCAGTTCCAACTGGCACAGGTCGCATATAAGTGACGCTGAGTGTCCTACTCACGCCCATATGCTGCCAGAAGCCAGGCTTGTTCACCAAAGCAAGGGGTAATGTCGTACACCAGTCAAAGAGTGTGGCTGCGCAACCTCCGTGTAGGTTCTGTAGCCTGTTGCAATTATCGGGCTGGACTGTATATGAGAATACGCATGACGGGTGAGCTCCTTCAGCATTGGTGGACACGAGCTGGAGATGAGGGATGAGGGTATTCATCCAATCCTAGGGTCGTTTATAGTCAGCATCCGAGACGAACCCGAACAAGTGAGAAACCCACTCCTTGCTTGGAATGACCGTTATCATTTTGTGACAGCTGTAACCAGGTTTTGACTCTTTCTTCTGGGCTGCCCTCTTTCAAGGTCTTGCGATGATTGTCTGTTGGCTTGTTGTCGGACATGTTGTTTGGTCTTTAATGTATAAAATATCGTACTCAAGTGAGGCTGCAGTCACCGAATCAAGATGGATTATGAATTATGATAATAAGAAGCCCCTTTCAAAAAGATACAAAGTTAGAATCCGGGTTATCACATTGAAATTGACATCTGGCTTACATTTACTCTACTCGCCAGTTGACGATACCTCGGTCCGTTGTAAACGCTAACCTTGATGCTGGTTATTGCCCTTTTCAGTTAGTGGCCCCAGAAGCCGAGGCACTTCCATCGGCCAACCAGCCCGAGCTTGACGTCGTAGTCGCATCCACTTCACCCGTTATCGCAGCTGCACAGTAATCCGGGGTCACTAACAAATTCCACTCCACTAAAGATCTCCTGTCGCAGCTGATCTCCATTCATCCTCGACATTGAATTCACCACCGTCTCTTGCCATTCTTCTACCCGTCCCCCGTATCCTCCAGGCATATCCTAGAGGCAATGGAGTTTGTCACAGCCCTTCGGGGCACCTTTGACGAACAGAAGCCGTCTCTATTCGAAGTCCTTTCTGAGCAACAGCTCAATGCCCTCCTCCCGCCGACCCTCCGCTACCTACTCACCATCGCGACGCATCGACATCCACGGTATCTCCTAAGAATACTAAACTCGTTCGATGAGATATACGCCGGTGTTATGTTGCTCGTTGAGCGGCATTACCTGCGCACCCGAGGCGGCTCATTCACAGAGAACTTCTATGGCCTCAAGCGCGAAAAGGGCCTCCATGCCGAAGTGCCACGCGCGAGCATGTCATCACCCGATATTGTGCGCGAGACATTGAAACTCACGACCCGAGACGTCTGGAAGAATCTGCTCGTCATCGTCGGCATCCCTTACCTGAAACGGAAGCTTGACGAGAGCTACGAGGTGAATGCGCCAAGAGCTCTTCTCGGTGCGGCATACACGCGAATGCCAGATAACCCAACTCTTCGCGACCGATTCCTATACTATTACCGATGGTTCCTCAGGAACATATACCCAAGCGTCAATGCCGGCTATTACTTTGCCATGCTTGCTTTCAATGTGGCGTACCTCTTCGACGGGAGCAAGTACCACAGCCCTCTCTTGTGGCTGATAGGAACACGTATTCGAAGAATGTCCGGTGCAGATTACAAGGCCATTGAGGCTTTGACGCAGACACCCGAGACAGGACACAGACCCGGGTGGCGGTCGTTGTTAAACCCCCGCGAAATGGGCCCGCGGGTGTTGTCAAGCTTGTCGATTTTGCTGCCTACAAGTATCTTTGCCCTCAAGTTTTTGGAATGGTGGTATCAGTCGGATTTTGCGAAGCAGCTTTCACGAAAAGCGACTGAAAGTGTTGATTTGCCGCCACCTGTGATTTCGGCAGATGGCAAGGGAGGCTCCAGCAAGAAGAAGCCAGAAGTGAAGAAAGAGGAGTCAAATGAGGGAGACTCAACCCCTTCGGCAGAAGATGCACCCATCGCCACTCCCTCGTTGCTCCCTGTCTACACAATTCCATTTCCCAGCGATTCGGCATTGTGTCCTATTTGCGTCGATGAGATCATCACTCCAACAGCCTGTCAAACCGGTGTCGTTTATTGCTATACATGTATCCACAAATGGATCGAGGGCCAGCACCAGAAACAAGAGGATTTTATGGAGTCGCGCGAGGGCAAGTGGGAGAGTGGTCAAGGGAGATGTGCAGTGACAGGCAGAAGGGTTCTGGGTGGAACTGAAGGCTTAAGGCGGATAATGGTATAGAGAAGTCGACATTTACAGTATAAGTTACTGCATGCGTCGAGTTGGAGATTTTCAAAGTGTTGGCGTGCAATTTTCGATACCCAGGAGACTTGGATGTCTCACCCTTTTAATTGAAGCAGCTTCACTACAGCTCAATGCGGTTCATTATCGTAATTGCATCTCTCGACTTTGGAATGCATGCGCGTCTCCATGTTTCACTCAACGTCTGATTTACCTGTGTCGACACGCTATCATCGACGCCAACCGCTCAATGTCTCACTTTAATCTCCGCCGCCGTGAGGCGATTCAGAGGCCCGCCACACTCTGGCCGGAGAGTCAATGAAATGGAATGTATAAGATGGCGCACAAAGAGATCAACGTCATGCCCCCCAAGGCGAAATGCACCCCAGCCTGCAGACAATGTACAGTTGATGGAAAGCATTGCATTCTCTTCAACTTACCCCTCATGATGCTATTGGCTCAGCATAGAATCTCGTGGTGTCTTAGAATAGCGTCACAGCTTCTTGACTACCTTGAATGCGTATGCTTTCAGACGTTTGCCAACCACTACCGAATTCCATATGCGGGTGGTGCTCGCCGTGTAAGGCAATGGACCGTAAAGAAATAAAAGACGAACTGCTGCCCGCGGCTTTTCGAGATGAAACGACTCATCCTCGTCAGACAACTCTTCTACTTTTGTCTCTTGTCCTCATATCCGTCGTGAACTACGATGGCATACTCATTAACTACCTCCTTCTTAGGAGAGTCTCTTATCTCTGGTTTCGACTGGTTCAATGGCCGTGATCTTTCAAATGGATTCGTACAGTGAGAAAGACTCGCCAGTCTCAGGCTTCTCTTGTTACTAACACTATAACAGATATCAAGACCTGGAGGGTGCCGAGCAATATGGCTTATACTCCGTGGATCCTTTTAGTAATACTGTTCGACTTAGACCCGACTCCGCTCGGAAATTTGATCTAGACCAAGGAAGACCTAGTATTCGACTTGAAAGCAAGGAGTCCTACCAGTATGGGTTATTCATCGCAGATTTCCAACACATGCCTATTTCACAATGTGGTACTTGGCCAGCCTGTATGATCTTCCAACCTAACTCTCAAGTGGAAGATGAACTGACATGGTGGATATAGTCTGGGCATATGGTGCCAACTGGCCCAACAATGGCGAAGTTGATATCCTCGAGGGCGCCAACTTGGCTTACACTAATATCATGTCTGCCCACACGGCAGATGGCTGCATGCTAGACCCCGCAGACTCGAATATCTTCTCTGGAAACCCCCAGAGCTTAGACTGTGCTGTTGGTACAGACAATGTTGGGTGTGGCTTCACACCACCCGCCAGTGACACTTCCTCTTATGGTGATGGCTTCAACGCTGTTGGCGGTGGTGTGTATGCTATGGAGTGGGACTCCGAGTACATCTCGATCTGGCACTTCCCACGAGGCGCAATTCCGGCTGATATAGAAGCCAAACGACCTGATCCTAGGAAATGGGGACTTCCTCAGAGTTTGTTTGGTGGTTCAAAGTGCAATGTTGACGAATATTTCAATGATATGAGGATTGTCCTGAATATTGTGAGTACCACGATAATGAGGAGGGGAACTTGGACTAATGACTTGTCTAGAACTTTTGCGGCGATTATGGCGAGGGAACTTGGGGAAGTTCTGAAACTTGTCGAGCTCTCGCTCCAACTTGTCGTGAATATGTTGCGAACAACCCTCTGGATTTCCAAGACGCCTATTTTGATGTTAGCTACATCGATGTCTACACTCGCCTGGGAGGAGACGTCCCGCCTGTTGTCCCATCATCAACCGGTGAAGCACCTACCGAGATCTCTATCCCTTCAGCTAGCACTCCTGGCCCCAACACTCCAATCTCAGGAAATACTAGATTCCCGAACAGCACCGCCACCGTCACTCGTCCTCAGCCCAAGGAAGACGAATCCACAACAGCAGAGCCAACAACTACAACTACATTGACAGGCATATCTTCTGTCGAGGTGACTATTCCTGGCTCTGGAACCAACAGTGCAACTGTTAGCTCTCTTCCTGTTGCTACAGGTGGAAGCTCAGTCAACCCAGCTAAGGTTGATGATTATGCATATCTTGGTTGTTTCGGATCGCAGACTGGTTTCCAGACTTTCAATGAGAAAGCTGAGAGCGACGACATGACTATTGAGAAGTGCATTGAAGCTTGTAACGGCCTGACTTATATCGGTCTCTTTGAAGGGTGAGTGGCTCAGATCGAAACTCAAAGCGACATTCAACTGACCATTTCTGTAGAACCTGCTATTGCGCCTCCAAACTTGACGCCGATACCCGTGCTTTGCGCAACGAGTCTTCATGCAATCGCCCCTGTCCTGGAAACGACGATCAATTCTGCGGTGGTATGGTCTCTCAAAGGTCCAAACGAAGCATTCCTCTTCGCCGAGACGCCCCCAACAACATCCTACTCACAGTTTATGCCGACACCAGCGACGCTGGACAGCCTGATGTCCCACCTGGCATGGGCCCCGGTGTTGATGGAACTGCCACTGGCGGCTCATCAAGTCCAACTGGTGGAAGTGATCAAGGCAGCTCGCCTGCTGACGGAGTGGATGGCTCGGCTGGATCAGAGAGCCAAGCAGGAGATTCTGCTCGAGAAACTGCCAATGGACAAGCTGGCTCAGGTGATGACTCGCCCGCGGCTACTAATAACGGAGTGATTGTCGACACTGCTACAGTCACCGACGTTGTAGCTGGCACTGATGCGGACGCTGTGGTTTTCAGCACTTTGTCTGGCGGCGAGGTTATCGAAGCAACACAGGCTATCCCCGACACAGTCGTCACAAGCACGATCACTTTCTTCACAGTGCTTCCGACGAACTCTAGATCACTTGTACCTCAAGAAAGTATCGTCACTATGAGCTACTCTCTGTGTGACTACTGCGACACTCCCACCTTGATTCAGCCAGCAATGGCTACCAAAGTCGTTGAATGCGACGGCTGTGGCATAAATGGTGAAAATACAGTCACATTGACTGTGCCCGTCCATGTCACCGTCACCGTCACTGGTGCTGGTACCAATGCAACCCAGGCAACCGGCAATGCGGCTGCAGGAGTCTTCCCAGACCAGACACGAGAGATTCCTCCTATTGTGCCAACCGGAATGGGAAGCAATGCAAACGCTGGCCCTGAAGTAACGACGATCGTGATAACATACTTGACAACCCAGCTGGTCACATATGGCACGGAAACGAACTCCGTCTCTACCGAGACAAGAACCTTACGACGCACGGTTGTCCTCACTGTATCAGACATCGAGACGATGAGTATTCTGCCTGTACCCTCTCCTGGAAGGCCGAACACACCGATTTCCCATGCTACACCAACACCGGGCGCGTCGGGTGCGCCGGCCGTGGTCTCAAGCGCATCATCGAGAGTCGATGATTGCTTTGTTTACTTTGCGATTGTGGCCATGGCAATTCTAGCCTTGTCTCTTTAGGCGCCCTTGGTGTTGATTTGATATCTGTTTCATTCATTCTTCTCTTCATGAGGACCTAATACTGGAAACGTACAGGATATACAAAAACATAGACATGTTTGATTATGTTGGAAAGGGTACATGTTTGTTTAACTACGATAGTCGATATTCCTTTTGTTTGTCACGACATATTAGAGCTTAATGCAAGATAATACCAATAAGATGATATTTTTAAATATTTTGGCCAAGTTCTTGGAGTCTCTAGTTCACTCGGATGCGAAAACATACCTTGTATATATTTAAACTTGCTTGCTTGGCTTTTCAAATTTCAACAACAATCGCCCTACTCTTGACTTTGCCCGAGTTGCCTTTCATCTGCGCAGCATTTACCATGAGACTACCATTGTTACTTCCAGGACCTGACATTAGCCACTTCCAAGCCACGCTATGAAGACCTTGGGCTAGAAAACGCAGATAATCCAACCAAGCCTCGTTAGGGATGAAGTCTCGGATCAGACCGCGACGAGGTCGTGACATGATACGTTCGTAAGTCTCCTGGAAGATATCGAAGAAGGCTGATTCTTTACCGTAGCCAAAGTGGACGTGGCCGAAGACGTGGAGACGGGGCTTTACGCGCCAAACTTCACGGAGGAGATTACTGTCCCCGAGACCAAGATCAAGATGATGTTTCTAACAGTATGTAAGTTGAAAAGTTGCCACATTCAAACAGTCGAAGCTTACCGGAGGGCAATGGGTGATAAGAATATCAGTTTGGGGAGGCACCTTGCTCAACCAAGGGTGTTTATCTTGAGGATATTGGAAGCTAAAAGCATCATTCTGTTAGCTATAACGGTGTAGCTGGATGTTTTATAGACTTACGCAAACTCCTTGGGACCAATGCTTGGAATATCCGGAACACCAAAGATATTGACAGTTCGACCCTTTATCTTTTGCACAGTCAAGCCGCTCTCAAGATAATGAAGGCCCTCCATGTTAGGCTTAGCACCTGAGCGCGCATCTTCCTCATGACGACTTTTGATGTCAAACCAACTATCGTGGTTACCTGCAACGACAACCTTGACAGGATGAGGTTGTTCACGAAGCCAGTCGAGCTGTTTCTGAATATCTACTACGGTACCGGAATCTGTAAGGTCTCCCGCATGAATGAGAATGTCACCGTTGGGAATGTCGACTTTGAGATCGTGTGTGTCGGAGATGCAGACGACGCGAATGACGGGCTTGTCACGCGGCGGGTGAAAGGGCCGACCGCGGAGGAGGAGTACAGCGTGGTAGAAGAGGAAAGAGAAATATGTCAAGGGTGATGAGATGAGATTGTCGAGGAGAGTCATGGGCTCCCATTGATCCCGGCGACGAAGGCCTATGTAGGAGAGGAGGCCCATGAGGGGCGTGTATGAGGTAGTTGGGGCTGGGAGAGTTGAAACTGAGAGTTCAATTGAACGAGAGGTACAAATTGAGATATCTCAGTAACTGAATGAGTGATTGGGAGTGAGTGAGTGAGTGGAGAGCTATAGCTATTGATGA